TGTCCACAGACCACATTCTGAGTCCCCAGGTGCTTGGGGCTCCAAGGTATTTGACCTGGCAACTGTCCAGAAAGAGCATGCTGTGGGGATGACCTCAATCCCTGTCGTGTGTCCTGCCTGCCAGCTCTGGCCAGAGCTAGTTTCATGGGTAAGCTTTTGTGGGGTCACAAAGAGTCATGTTTGGGTTATTTTTCACTCATCTATCAGGTCCATATGCCTTACCTGCTGTGTGTGTCCTATCACAATGGATGCCATTACCCAGTATCCCTTGTACTGTGGTCCAGAGGTGGCCTGGCCAATGGGAGCCACCAGCAGAGAGAATTTGAGGAATTTGTTCCCCACTCTCTCCTTGTTGGTACAATCTGTTAGTTTTTTATGGCTGCTGTTTAAGGGTCCTACACGTCCACACACTCCATCACTCTCCCAAAGGCTGGTTTTAGAGGCATGGGGACCATCTTCTGCTCCTCTTTTATCACCAGGCATCTCCTTACTCCACAGGCATAGAATCTTAGTGTTACCCAGGCATCTTTCAATGGCAAAGCGGCAGAAACCTCAAACTCTATTTCAGGCCAAAGGGGGAAGACTCATGACAGATTCATGGGTTCCATCATGAACCCTAAGGACAAGGAGCATAGTCAGGCTTCATTGGAGTGGGATCAAGAGGACCAAGATATGCCTTCTGCATACCCACTGTCTGTCTCTCTGTATACACGACTGGCCTCTGACTGTGTCTCCTCTTTATCTCCACAAGCTCTGCCTCTCTGCATCCGTCTTTGTCTCTGTGCTCTATGTGTCTCTGTTTCTGCCTGAGACTGTCTCTCAGGCCCTGAGCCAGAGTGAGCAGGCAAGAGGCCCAGACAGGACAGTAAAGAATATGCTCCCTCTCTGGTTGGTACCCACTCTGTGCTTACAGGAGCCCCAGGATGAGGGCCTCCTCCAGTGTGCCCCAAGTCAGTCTCATCTGCATCCGTCTTTGTCTCTGTGCTCTATGTGTCTCTGTTTCTGCCTGAGACTGTCTCTCAGGCCCTGAGCCAGAGTGAGCAGGCAAGAGGCCCAGACAGGACAGTAAAGAATATGCTCCCTCTCTGGTTGGTACCCACTCTGTGCTTACAGGAGCCCCAGGATGAGGGCCTCCTCCAGTGTGCCCCAAGTCAGTCTCAGTCTCTCTCTCTCTCTCTCTCTCTCTCTCCTACCTTTGCCCATGCCTGGCTTCCTCTCTGTCCCTGTGAGTTCCTCCTGCAGCCTCTCTGATCTTTGCTTGTCCCTATATACTTCTGTGACCTGACCTTTCTGCCTCAGGCAATGGCGGAAGTTGATGGCTCTGTATATCCCTGGCTCCGACACACAGAATCTTCAAATCCTAGGAGGGTGAATACAGCTCAACTCAGATCAGTCATTCTTACCTTGTCCAAGCAGCTGTGGTCAGGATCTTGAGCCTCCCTACCCCTCAACAGGGACTTGAGAACAAAGGAGGGGTTGAGGAGGAAGGGCTGATCAAAACAAGGCACTCTGGGTCACTGGTCCCTGAGTCTTTCCCTCTGATACAGAATATAGCACAGAGGCAACCCCTCATTGCCAACACACAGACTGCTTTGCCCTTGGGGCTCCTGGGAGTTTTAGAACACAAAACTAAGGGTGACAGCAGGGAAGATCAAGCTCCCAAGCCCCCACCACATGGTTCTGCCATAAGCCACTTCTTCAAACATTCTGATTCTTCCAGCTGTGTCTATAGGGAACCCCATCATATGTAGAAGCCCCATCACCTCCCATTTGGAGTTCCAGTTTTAGCTACCATGTGTGGTGAGACCATTCTATCAGATGCTTTGGAGAACCCAGGAAGTGTCAGGGAGGAGGAGGCCCAGCCTTCTCCCTAGAGATGCAAGAGGAGGCTGGAGGAGGGCAGGGAGAGTAGAGTCCCTGTCCAGTGAGCTGCACAGATGGCACTGGTGTGGTGAGAGGAACCCAGTGGCTGTGGAGGCTGAGGGCCTGTGAGCCACTGCCCTGTTTCTGGAAGGGCTTTGACAGCCTCATCTTTCCTGGGCATCTCTGAAACAACAGTTGCAGAGTTTCGGGGAGATGCAGCCCCATTCTAATGGGGAAGATGTCACAAGGAGCTCTGGAACCACATCTCCATTTCATGAGATGTCATTTACTGAGAAATGTTTCTCAGAGTGGGCACAGGAGGAGGAATGGACTGGGGATGGGTGTGGATGCCATGGGCTTCAAAAGAGCCTTCCTGGAGGAGATGACATTACTCTTGAAGATAGAGTAGGAGTTTACCAAGTAGAAAAGGAAGCCCTCTTACCTGGGGTGGAGGACCTGTCTGGCATGGAGAAGGGCAAGTGTCCAGAGGGTTTGATGTGCTCAGAGGGCAGATGGAACAGTGCTACCGATCTGGATGTCAAGCTGACCCAAGTGACCTGTTAAACTTCCTTCCAGTCGTAGCCTTAAAATATGTTGTTCCTGACCCTCTGGCCCCAGACCCTGTATAGGGGTAGGGGTGGAATCCAGGACTTGGGGACAGGGTCTGTGTCTCCTAGGGGTGTTCAGGGGAAGGTGTGAGGCCCTGGAGCCCAGCAGGGCCCAGCTGCACATATCACCTTGGCAGTTTGTGGGCAAACCCTCTTGGCAACAGGGAGATTGCAGTGCCAGCCACTTCCTCTAGTTCCTTCCCTCTGCCTGTCATCACGGTTACCTTGGCCTGTGCTGGGGTGAGGCTGAGGTTGGGCGGAATCAATTTCGGGTCAGCCAGAGGAGCTGTCATTTCTGGTTCGGTTTCAAAGGAGGCCACGGGGCTGGGAGGTGTTGGGGTGAGGTGTTGGGTGTGGTGGTGTTGATGAAGGCCTCTCCAGCAGCCTGGGGGTTGGGGGGATGTGGACACCGAGGTGGTAGGGAAGGAGGAAGTGGGCTACCCTGCCAGGACCTGTGTCATAGACCAGGGTGCTTGTTGGTCTGGGGCCCAGGCCTTCTCCTGTGCTCTCGAGCTTGCCAGGAGTGCATGGAGAGAGGCTGCTTATTTTCCTGGCCAATATCCCTTTGGATTGAGACCTTGTCACAGGCTATGGGCTGCCAATCACCTCCCACCCCTACTCCACTCAAGAAGTGACAGAGTTGGCAAGCCCAGGGCAACACCACAACTTGTGGTCTCTGACTTAACAGCTGTCCCCAACCCAGCTGGCCCTGTGGAGGCCTCTAGTCGGCAAGGAAGCACAAGGCACCCCCACAGAGTGCCCTTGAAGGAATGGGCTGCTTGAACCAGTGATCAAGGGTAGGAAGGTTGAAGGCTGGGGATGTGCTTCAGTTGGTAGAGTGCCTGCCTAGCACACACAAGGCCCTGACTTCAATCCCCAGTACCTCATAAGCTGAGTGTGGTAGCCTACATTTACAGCCTCAGCACTCAGGGAGTAGAGGCAGGAGGATTAGAAGTTCAAAGCCTTCCTTGGCTACACAATGAGTTGGAGGCCAGCCTTAGCTACATGAGACCCCTGCCTTAAACAGACAACAATTTTAAGAGTAGAAGGGTTGCTAGGGCTGGAGAGATGGTTCAGAGATCAAGAGTAGTGGTTACTCTTGCAGAGAACCTGGATTCAATTCCTGGTACCCACATGGTGGCTAGCAACCATCCCTAACTCCAGTTCCATTCCAGGGGAATCCTGTGCCCTCCTCTGGCCTCTGTGGGCATTGCATAACACAGGTGCACTTACTACATACGTGCAGGCAATGCACTTATACACAAAAAATAAAAAGGGTAGAAAGGTTAAAATTGGAGTGAAATCTTCCTAGTGAAATCTGAGTTCAAATTCTGGCTCTGCCTTGTCTTTGTTTTGTGACCTTGGATAAAGTGAGCCTCTGAGCCTTACTTTAAAATGGGACAATAGGGGATGGAGAGATGGCTTAGCGATTAAGAGCACTGGTTGTTCTTGCAGAAGACCCGAGTCCAAATCCCAGCACCCACATGGCAGCTAACAACTGCCCATGGTTCCAGTTCCAGGGGATCCGACAGCCTCTTCTGTCCTCTGTGGGCATTGCACGACATGGGTGCACTTAACCTGCACACAGGCAATACACACATATACATAAAATAAAAATAAATAAAAATATTTAAAATGGGACAATGATGACACCTTCCTCTAACTTGAACTTGAGGATAGAGTGATGTGTGTTGAAAGCATTTGGCAAAGTAACAAGAGGTAACTCCTGTTATGCTAGAAGGTGAAACCATAGCAACTGCCAGGCAGGGTGGGTGGGCATTGAATTTCTGCCCCAGGGCCCATAGGTCATTCTCCACAACTCCTGAGTTCCCAACATACCCCAAGGGAGAAGCACAAGCCTGGAGCCTCAGGACCCCCTGGGCTGTGCCTGGGCACCCGAACCTCTCTCACAGCTGGAGTCCTGGGGCAAGACTGTGCAAAGGGGGAAGAGAATTCTAGCCAGGTGAGGAGGCAGGGATGCTGTGATGGCATGCAGAAATAGATCTGAAGTTTTGGGGACCTTGGAGGAGCCAGATGGTTGGGAATGGGTGGTGAGGTTTGAAATCCCATCAGAAAAACATGGGGCGAAGGTAGTCTGGGAGGGGTAGGGCAGAATGGGAACCTGGGTCCCTGCCCAAGGTGTTTTTAAAGGAAGTGACTGTGAGCTGCTGGCCTGGAAAAATTGCACCCAGAGGCCTTGAGCCAGGCAGGAGAACAGGTTGCCTCACCCACTTGTGGGGTGCCACCTGCCTCCTATGAGTGAACTGGCCAGGCTCCCAGTTCAGGGAACTCTGGTAGAGCCAAGTAGCCCTGCCCTTGGGGGACACTGGCTCCTCTCCAGGATACCCACCTGCTCTGAGGCTGATCCTCCCACAACCAGGAGAGTCAAGTCCATCCCAGCAGCCAGGGACACTGGCTGAGATGTGGGTCAGGAAGGGGGAGCTGGTCCCCTGGCTGTCCATGTGTCAGCGGGGAGACTGTGTGCAGGACCTGCCACGGTGTCTAATCGGTGGCTCTGTGCCCTCACAGCTAGATGAGGAAGAAGAGCGAAGGAAAAGGCGCCGAGAAAAGAACAAAGTTGCAGCAGCCCGGTGCCGGAACAAGAAGAAGGAGCGCACGGAATTTCTGCAGCGGGTGAGCAGGGCAGCTAGAGGGACAAGGAGACAGAGGGTGAGCAGGGTGCTAGGGGACAAGGAAACAGGGTGAGCAGGATGGCTAGGGGGACAAGGAGACAGGGTGAGCAGGGTGGCTGGGGGGACAAGGAGACAGGGTGAGCAGGGTGGCTGGGGGGGCAAGGAGACAGGGTGAGCAGGGTGGCTGGGGGGGCAAGGAGACAGGGTGAGCAGGACAGCTGGGGGGACAAGGAGACGGGGTGAACAGGGTGCTAGGAGGACAAGGAGACGGGGTGAGCAGGGTGGCTGGGGGGTCAAGGAGACGGGATGAGCAGGGTGCTAGGAGGACAAGGAGACGGGGTGAGCAGGGTGCTAGGAGGACAAGGAGACGGGGTGAGCTGGGTGGCTGGGGGGGGCAAGGAGACGGGGCGAGCAGGGTGGCTGGGGGGCAAGGAGATGGGGTGAGTAGGATGGCTAGGGGGACAAGGAGACGGGGTGAACAGGGTGGCTGGGGGGGCAAGGAGACGGGGTGAGCAGGACGGCTAGGGGGACAAGGAGACAGCCTATCCTTTGCAAGGACTGAAGCTCTTGGACACTGTGTGACACGGCCTCAGCCCCCTGCCCTCATCTGCTACTTCTCTGCTATCCCTTAAATCTCAACTATCAAACCAGCCTTCAGCAGCTCCTGCCCACACAGGTCCCCTGGAAGCCCAGAGAAGGTGGAAAAAGCTATGTTCCCTTCCACTGAGCTTAGACCCTGGGTGCTGACTTGGTGCTCCAGGCCTGGGACAATCCATTTGGGCCCCTGGTGGCTATCACAGGAATCTAGGATCCATGCTAATGAAATGGGGGGGGGGGGTACCATGCCTATGAGCAGTGGACATAGCACCGAGACTGGCTGTTTTGTGCCAGGAAAGGCTCCCTTAGTTGCAGTGGCTCATCCAGCTCTGCCTCTGCTGGCTAGCTCTCCTCCGGTCCACTTGCCTTTGCACTCGTGATATGTCTTGATCCTTCTCTCCCTATGTCCTGCCTCGCAGAAGACCTTCCCTGCATCTCAAAAATGGTAGGTGGCAGTGAAGGGAAGTGAGCAGAAAGCTGATTAGTCCAGGCCATCGCCAGTCCCACACCCCAATCATGGTACTAGCAATGCTCTATTACATAATGCCAATTATATAACAGGCAGGTACTGTTCTACAAGTACACAATAATTTGCAGTAGTGGTGAACATTTGTAAAGCCAGGCACTGTGCTAAGTGCTGTGTGCATCTGAGCTCATTTTACTGGCATCGTAACCATTGAGACAAACCTTTGTGAGTCACTTTCTGTAGGTGAGGCATGTCAGTGAGGAAAAGTGACTTACCCAGGTCTCTTAGCCACCAACGGGTAAGACTGAGACCAAAGCCCACCCCGGTCTCGGAGCCTCTGCTCTTTACATCGTGATTCCTGCTCTCATTCATACCTTGGCTGGTTTGTTCCTGAATCCGACAGGTGCAGTAAATGTCCACAGGTATGCTAGGCACACTGTGGGGGGACACAAGCAAGAGCTGAGACCGTTCTCTGATGCTTGCGTCTGTGTTCCCTTCTCATGCTCGCCACAAGCTGTGTGCTGTTCTGGTGTCACAAGTGTGAGCAATGTGGACCATGTGTAGACCTCCAGGCTGTGAGCCCTCAGGACAGGATGGTGGCCATCAGCAGGAGTGAGACTCCTATAGCTAGGAACCCTTAAAAGAGATGGTATGCAGCACTAGACTGGAAATCATGCAGAAGTTTCTACGATACTGGCCGGAAGGATGGGTGGAGTATCCCATGCTTTCTCTCCAACATTGAGTACCTACAGTGGGCAGAGCAGGGGATACAGGCAAGTATAGAGAAGTTTCTCCTAAGAAGCTTCCCATGTGACTGCTGCCTCCTGGGGCTTGTCACTTGTCAGCTAGTTAGCAGGCGAGATGTGCCCACGTTAAAGGCTCTGAATGATGCACCAGCACCATGGAAAGTTGGCACCAACTGATCGGCTCTTCATTCCGGTAATACTTGCCAAGCACCTACTGTGTGTCTGGCATTATACAGGTTTCACTTGATCCTTAGCATTCCAGTAAGGTAGATATTATTCTCATTTTAGAAACTGACCTGTAGTTCAGAAAGGTCAAGTTACTTGTTCAAGGTCACACTGCTAGCAAGTAGAAGGCAGGATCTCATACCCCGTTTGATGATCCAACTCTCCATCTAACAAGTGATGACAGAGTTACCCGCTGACTCACAGTGGATAATAGATGGCAAATGAGGAACGGTAACAATGTAGTGTTGTTAGGGAAGCCCAGAGTGCTGTGGGGGCATATGGTGCTACTACAGGGGGATCGTCCCTAGGATGGACTGAGGAACGACAGTCTCAGTTGTGAGATAAAAGAGGAGCAGGCACTAATAAGATGAAGGAAGGGTGTAGGAGGAGAGGGTCACTAGGAGTAGCACATACAGACGCAGGTAGTGCTGTGTAAGGATGTGTTCAAGGCATTGACAAGAATGTTAGTGTGGTTGGAGGTTAGACTTCTAAGTGGGAGGATGGAGAGGCAGACAGGTGCAGACCCTCACTCATAGGGTGAGGCCTATATGCTGACTTGTCTGGGATAGCTCAGTTTATGCCTGTTGTCCCAGTCCAGTTATTAATGACACCTTTCAGTCTTTCACCCCATTGCATGATGATATCTATAGTCATGGGGAGCCAAGGAGTTCAGGAGGAGAGAGGCACCAGTCAGAGGAATCCACTGTCAGGCCTTGGGTTGGGACAGCTGAGATAGTGCTCTGTTGTCCCAAGGAGAGAAGATGTGGCTGCCAAGATTGGAGAAAATGGAGTGACCTCAGGTCTGGGAGGCAACACCATCTGGGCCCAAGCCCAATCCTCACTCCCCCTGGACAGCCCTCCCCAGCTCTGGCCCTGGGAGCAGAAGTTTGAATGTGAAGGCAGATGGCTGTGTTGGCAACGCCTGCAGACTTGGGCGACTCTCGTGTAATGCAATTTTTAAGCCCTCCTACCCCTGAACTCTTGACCTCTGTATATCCATGGACAATCCAAAGGGTGAAAAGCCAGGGTGCCTAACACCTCAACTTGTTTCTACTGACTCTGCTGATGGTAGTGTAAAGACAAAATCTTGACTTATATCAATTCTATTCTAAGCCAACAAATGGTTTTAAATTTTCTAATGCAATAAATATCCAACAGAAGTCAGCATAATAAACAAAAATGCAGGCAAAATCATTTTACTCCATAAGTGGTGTGGCACATCCCAGCCCTTTTCCTGCTGCACTCACTAGACAAACACATCAAGTTGTTATAAGTTCAGAAACCTGTGCACACCTACAGTCTCAGCACTTGGAAGTCTGAGGTAGAAGGATCATAAGTTTGAAGCCAGCCTAGGCTACCTAGTAAAAACCTGTCTCAAAAACAAACAAACAAGCAAGGAAAAATTACAGTTTTTAAAACTCTACAAGCCACAACTTACAGTTGCACAATAAATAACCATGTAGTACCAACCACTAACTCCGTGGGCACAGGAAGGAGTCAAAGTAAAAAGAGGCTAGTTATGCTGTGAATCCAGACCAAGTTGCCCCAAACCCCACAGACCAGTGTGACACAGATCACCACATGGAGGGTTGACCCTCCACTTGGTTGTTTGGAGGAGGCGGGTCCCTCTGTGGTACTGAATGCTGTCTTGTACCCTTGTCTGTCCATGTTTTTGTTGTTGCTTTATTTTGTTTTAGACAGAGTCTCATGTAGACCAGGCTAGCTTCAAGCTTACTATGTAGCCAAAGCTGGCCTTGAACTCCTCACCCCCTGCCTCTATCTCCTGAGTGCTGGAATGATAGGCTCATGTCAGTATGCCCAGCGAGGCCTGTCCAGTTTGCACTTCAAGTATGCAAATACACAGCCATCAAGTCCAAACTCCTTCCACAGTGCGTATAACATTCTGAAGCCCAGCTCCCCTCCCGGGCTCCTTTCTAAGACCCTTCCAGCCAGCTCTCTCTGCCCTTGTCTCCTTCATTCTCCAAACCCAGGTGGTCCCCAAGACCTGCTGAGTTATCTTTGAAACATCTCTCTTCCTACTGTTCTGCTCACAGGTTAAAGGAAGGATCCCTTAAGCCCCTCTAACCCTTTGGTTTACACAGTGTTTTCCCCCGTGGAAGTTCTTCTAATCCCCAGGATCATCACCTCTTTACAGACAAGATAACCAAGGTTCAGAGAAGAAGCTAAGAAACTTGCTCTAGACTCAGATTCTAAACCTTGGGGCTTTGCATAGCTGTTGCTGGCTCTGACCCACTTTTTCTGCTTTTCAGCCCGTGTGTGCTAGAGAGCAATGGGCACAGTGGACCCTGTACGTGACAGCTTGCCCATCTTTCCCATTCTCTCATGGTTCCCTCCCTCCCCTTCTCTAACATCTGGAGTCAGCTTCTCACCCTGCTGTTAACCCCGCCTGTTGGTCTCCTACACCCAGAATGTTTGTAAGCTCAGCCTTGCTGTGTGCTGAGTGGACTCTCCTCAGGAGCCATGCTGGGGGCTCATGGCCTTCAGATTTCCCAGAGCATTCATGGACATGGCAGGTTCAAGGTGCAACCTTAGCGGTGAGTGGATAGCCCAGAGACGCCACAAAGGGACTGAGGACAACCTGAAGATTGTGACAGCACCCTGAGCCAGGGGAGGTAGGGAGGACAGGAGAGGTACTGGCCACCTCTCAGAATTCTGAGAACTGTGGACCAGGCCAGTATTCCTGTCTTGTCTTAGCCTGCCTCATTAAAAACCACCATTAATGTTTCTCCATGTCTTCTCCCTTAGAATTTCTTTTCTCATCTGTGAAGCTGTTGTTCTAGGCTTCTGGTCCCAAAGCCCGCCTCCCTCGGATGAACACAAGGATTAGCCCTGTCAGGCTGTGAGGAAGATGGCACTTAGGGAGGTGTGGGGGTCCTTTTAAGTGTCCAAAGACCCAGCAGGAGGCTGTTCCATCTGCTCCCCAGTGAGTGGAGGGGCCCGTCACACATGCAGCTGCAAGCAGGACTTGCTCTGTGACTGATACGGGTCGTTCAGGATCTGCACCGTTGGTGTTTTGGACTAGATGGTCCTTGTGGTGAGGGCTGCCCTGTGTGTCCCTGTCACAGCATCTCTATTCTCCATGCACCACGTGCCAGTCACTATCCCTCAGCTATGACAACCAAACGTCTCCAGACCTGGGGGAAAAAGTCACTCCCAGTGAAGAACCCACTGTCCTAAAACTCTCCTCAGTTCATAGGCTGAGGAGACCTTTAAGTTATAAATTGTTAGAAAAATGGGAAAACCCATTGCAGTGGTCTTCTGTCTTACTCTCTGAACCCCAGGCCTTGAACAGGCATGCTTGTCACTGTCTCACCATGGATACACACCACCATGCCCCATCACATCCTCAACACCCCTCCCTCTCCCCAGCTAGACCCTCTCTAGCTGAACTGAGATGCCTGTCAATTGCCTGCCTGTAGACAAAGCGCAGATGATAGGAAGGAAAGTGGAGAGTGTTTTAAATAATTAGAGTAATGGCCCAGAAGTGCTGCTTTAGAAGGATGGCCCACACTGGGCTCGTCAATCCCAAAGTCAAGAATATCCATCACACCGGGTGTGCGGGCACATGTCTTGAATCCCAGCACTTTGGAGACAGAGGCAGGTGGATCTCTGTGAGTTCAAGGCCAGCGTGGTCTACATAGTGAGTTCCAGGACAGCTGGGGCTATAGAGAGACCCTGTTTCAAAAAGACAAAAAAAAAAAAAAAAAAAAAGAATATCCCATCATACGTTTGTCACACATCTAAGCATTTAGCATTTTGCTGCCACCTGTGGGCCACCTTGGACCCCTGCCCCCCTTCATCCACCTGCTCTAGATCCACCTGGCCTCCATTCTCTGCCTGCCTCTTCCTTCCTCCCTTTCTTTCTTTCTTTTTTTCTTTCTTTCTTCTTGTGCAGAGGTTTTGTGGCAGGGGAGCATTAGGTGTGTTTAGTTAATACAAGGAAGCCACTGAGGCTGGAGTAGATAGAGAGGGAGATGAGCCAGGCTGGTCCCAGAATATCACTTGGACTCCTCCTACTGTGACAGAGGCCAGTGTCATGGTGTGACAAGCCATGCCAGCAGAATGCCATTTATCCCAGAGGTTCAGCCTCCAGTGGAACCTGGCAGACAGGAACCATACCAGCAACACAGGTGCCAGCCAGGGTACCTGGGTGCCTCTGTGCAGCAGGCTGGCTGTGACAGCTGATGCTCTGTCTCTGTTTGCACAGGAGTCAGAGAGACTGGAGCTCATGAATGCTGAGCTGAAGACCCAAATCGAGGAGCTGAAGCTGGAGCGGCAACAGCTCATCCTGATGCTGAACCGCCACCGCCCCACCTGCATCGTGCGCACAGACAGCGTCAGGACACCTGAGTCAGAAGGCAACCCGCTGCTGGAGCAGCTGGACAAGAAGTGACTGGAGGCTGGGAGGAGGCATCAGAGGAGGAGGATGACAACAACAAGGACAAGAAGGATAAGGATGAGGATGAGGAGGAGGAGGAGGAGGCGGCGGCCATGGACCCCTCCTTGGTGCATGACAGACTGTTCGGTGAGGCTCAGCACAGCCAGCCTCCAGTCTGCTCTTTTCTGAAACTCAGCCCAGTCACACAAGAGGAAGAGCAAGCTGAAGAAACCCAGAGGGACCAAGCGCTGAGACCAAAGTTGACCCGTATGTAGGGGCTGTCCCACTCCAGGGCCCAGCTTGAAGGGCACCTGAACCAGAGAGATGCCCACACAGGAAGCCTTGTCAGGCACTCCTCTGACCTCTCCACCCAGACCCCCACCTGAGGGACCACTGAGCAGCCAGGAAAAGCCATGCGTTGCAACCACCATGCGGCTGAGGAGGAAATTTAGCTGGACTGCAATCCACCTGCCCCAGCCCAGCAGAGCTGTGATAGTCCTGCCGGAAGGCACAGCCTGGCGGCCCTGCTGGAGTTTGCTGTGGCATTGAGGCGCGGGCGCCCTTCCAAAGCACACACTCAATGAATGTTTACAGACTGGCTGTCCTGGCGGGGCTTCCAACTGCACATTTTTTTTTATACTTTCTTTTTTAAATATTTTTTACAAAAAAGATTTTATACAAGCAATATATATATGGATTTCTATAATTACTCGATGTGATACAGTACAAATATGCTATGATCTGTTTCTTATGGACATTTACCCACCAGTTACGGCCATTGTGTGTAATTCCTAAGTACTGTAGACTCTGGGTGTCGGGGGGGTGGCCAGGCAGGTGGGGTGCATTTCCATCCTTGTAAAACCTTCCTAGTATTCAGTCCTGTATCGCTCAGTAAACATTGCTCTTAATTACTCAGCTGCTTTGAGTGGCGTCTGCCCAGGGAGAGGGGTGAAGGGCATGCCCAGGGCCAGACATGTTTGGAGGATCTTAGTTTCCATAACCTTCCTCCAAGGTAAGACTGAAAATGCCCATTTCACAGCTGAGGGGCTGAGGCCCAGAGAAGTTAAGGAACTTTGCATATTCCATTTTGAGAGTACTTGCTTGATTCATTTAGGCCACAGATGTCTTTGAAGTGTACTCATGAGTGTGCCGAGCACTCTGCAACATACTGAGCCTTTTCTGGGGGGAATAAAACAAGCCTTGGTCCTTGTCCTCATGAACCTTCAGTAGTGGGTTCATCTCATGCTTGCTTCAAACCCTGTCTCATTTCATCTACACTATAGCTTTGTCAGGGAGCAGCCATTGTTCCCAATTCACAGATGGAGACTTGGAGACCCAGGAAAATGAAACTTGTAACCACCCTTTGTTGAAGTCTCAACCACTTGGCAAATACAAGGTCTCATTTACTTTTTAAAAGAGCACAGAACAGGCATTCTTCATTTTACAGATAGCTTAACTGAGGCTCAGAGAGGGTATGTAACTTCTCCAAAGTCACACAACTAGCAAGAAACAGAGCTGGTATATGAACTCTGTCTCATGGATCCATGGCTTCTTTCATCACCAGCTGCCTCTGATTTTCCTTGTGGTTGAATGGCTCACCCTCTGGGAACAGGAAGCTCAGAGGCCACCATTATAGATTTAATTTGGGAAAAGTTGTAGACTCTAGAGAGTTCTCGGCTGGCTCATGACGGTATGAACCAGCTGTCCCAACAAAGGCATATATGACCTAGAGTTATCTCCACCTATCACCTTTGCAGCCCAATTTCCTGCCCTGCAGAGCAGGAGCAGCTCAGTGCCATTCACATAGCACATGTCATTTACTTGGCTTGCGACAGTTTACAAGGCACAGCTAAGTGAGTTATCTCATTTGTTGTTAGGGATCTTGGAGGGTGGGGGCAGGCAGAATAGTTCTCATTAGTGCCCCTCTACCCTGAGGCTTAACAAGGTTAACGTTCAGCCAGCTAAAGAGAGGCAGAACTGAGAGTCCAATGCTTCAACCTTTGAACTGTGTGTTTCTTCTTAGACTGGGTAACTGCTTAATGTTGAATCTTTGCACCAGTGACTTTGAGTTGTCCCTCAAATAGTGTCCCTTGTGGGAGGGACAGAAATGGAAAATAGGTCACTAATAAACTGTTGGGCCCTCGCTTCCTCCCCTTGAATTCCCTCCACCCAACTGACTTCCAGCCTGGAGACAGTCTTGTCAGCTCTGTCTGCCATGGCAGCACACAGTATGTTCCTTCAACACTGTCCAGTCAGGAGAAAGAGGAAAGTGAGGATTTGTAAGAGTCCTTCAAGTGACCTATAGATGCCCCTGCAGTGTCACTGTCGCTACCTGCCCCTGTCTGTGGCTCCTTTAATTCCCTGCTGGGATACAGATGGCTGGTCTCTCATAGAGCCCTTTTATGCTATGTGGATGGCTCTCCATCCCATTCTGGCCAAACTAGTGACCTGTACTGCTGTTCCTACCACGGTGTCCTCCTCCTCCTCAGAGCAGCCTGCCTTCCTTGGGTAACTGGAAGTCACATTCTCTGTGTTCACCATCAGAGCCTCGGCTGGGATGTTTCCTGTGTGACACACACCATGTGTGCCTCTGCTGGTTCACACAGCCCTGCTGGGAGGTCCATGACACAATCTCAGAAAAACAAGACACAGAGAGGAGGGATCTTGCCTGGGGTCACAGAGCTGTTATGTGGCAGCACCAGGATGCTATTACAGGCTTGTCAGGGAGAATAGCAGCTGGGGCTCTGCCTCCCCAGAAAAGGAAATGCTCTGAGTTTGGTTTATGGTGGGACTTCAGTTGCCAGGAGATCGTGGTAGGAGGTGGGAGTGATGACACAGATCCAGCTGTACTCACAGCACACACACAGTCCCCAGTTCAGTTGCCCATCTGCAAGTGAATGAACAAACAGAAGGCTATGGGTCTTGCTTTTCTTATCATAAAGTGAGAATAGTTACAAGTCCCAGTCTTGCTGGGATCAAACAAAGAATGGGGATTAAGTGGGAATTATCCTGCCCTCTGTTACCAAGGCTAGCTGCTATTTATCACATAGTACAAATTACTTGGTTACCTTTTAGTCTCTAAAGGTGGCCTGTAGAGTTGGTGTTCTGACAACGTATCTGGTCCCTGTACTATGCTCTCCAGCCTGGGACCCAAGACTCCTGGGTTCCTTCAGCTTCTGATTTGCCATAACCATATTGGGCTTGTCATTCCTCTCCTGGGTAACCAGGAAGAAGCCACTGAGCTCTGCACAGCCACTGCCTTCAAAGGACAGGCGAACACATCAGCCATCATCAGATGGGCAGGAACTAGAACGGGATGGACAGGATGTCAAACGAAGGAAGCTTCCATTTGGCAAGTGTGAGTGCTATGGGAAGCAATGTGACAACTCAAGCCAAGCATGTCCCCTGACGAGGCAGCTTCCCTCCTGAGTGTGTACTTGGGAGACACTCCAGCACAGGATACCAAGAAGCGCTCAAGACCCACCACTGATGCTTTGTTTGCATTAAAGAAAAATTGGAGGCAACCTAAATGCCCTCAGAGGTAAGGATGGAAAAACAAATGATGGTGTTTCACAAGTATTAGTTGGCCCTTAAAAGATGAGCCTTGGCTATGTCTCTCATTATGGATGAATCTCAGAATCACTGTGGAGCTGGAGGGCAGGGGAGCAAATTGCAGAAGAGTTTGGAGTATAGAGTATGTATGGAGTGTTTCTCAACATGTAAATCAATACTTTATTGCTTAAGGACACACAGAGAACTGGGTAACAAAGACGGGACAGCATACACAGGATGCTATAAATACCAAAATTAGTGATTGGGATTGCTCCTGGTGGCATCTACAAGAGTAAGTAGGACACTGGGTTTCAGTTGCACATGTTCCTTTATTTTTAAACATTGTCACCAAATGTGGAATAACACTGGAACTTGTTAGTGGTGGGCGGTGTGCTCAGAGGTTTACATTCCTCTCTTTGCCCCTCTGTCCACTTCCTGATAAAAGAGAGCAAATTCCCGTACATTCTTTCCTTAGAAAACTCAGGAAATAAAAGCCACTCAGAAATTACAATGGATTGCAACATATGCACATTGAATTTATGCAAATTCAATTGCATGCCTAAAAGGAAGAAATTCAGAGTGAGTTGATCTGGCCCTTGTCCTGGGGAGGGCGCTCTAGGGGTGGTATTTTGAGGAGTATGGTCGGCTTTAGTTCAGCAGCTGATCCCCGAGCTCTGGGATGGGTAGCTGAGGCTTGTCTCAAGTTAATTATGGCTCTCTAGGCTTCCTCCTTCTCCCTGACTTTCCAGCCTAACCTTGAGTGCAAAGTAACCAACTCCACAGCACTACTTGAATGTGGGGACAGTCTTTAAAAGACAAGAACCCAGTGATCCTAGGTATACGGCACTTCCTATTCTGTTGTAACATATTACCAAAGATGGAATGACTTCGAGCAACACATGTTCTGTTTCTTAACAGCTCTGGAGGTCCGAAGCATAAAATGCTTCACACTGGGCTAAAATCAAGGCATCTGCAAGACTGTGCTCCTTCTGCAGGCTTTAGGAGAGAATCCATTTCTGCTAGAATGGCTGGCCTGAAAGCCCCAGGAACACTCCTGTTTCCACCTCCCAGTGCTGGGATTACAGGTGTGAACAGATTGTGCTCAGCTTTTTATGTGGGTACTGAGGATCAAGCTCAGGTCCTCATGCTTACATGGTAACCAGTTTACCAACTGAGCCGTCTCCATGGCTCCCCTCTTCTATCTTTTAAGGACCCTTGTGATAACATTGCATTTACTCAGATAATCTAGGATAATCTCTTTATTTTAAGGCTATGATGAACAACCTTAACTCCACAGCAACTTTAATTCCCTCTGGCTTACAACAGATTACAGGTTTCTAACTGTTAGAATGTGGGCCATTCTGGGCTGGCCATTATTCTACTTTCCATCCAAGAAATTAAGAAGAGTTGGAGGTTCTTGGGTCTGGTGGGATGGCTCAGCAATTAAGAGCACTGGCTGCTCTTCCAGAGGACCTGGGTTTAGATCTCAGCACCCACATAGTGGCTAACAACTGTCTGAAACTCCAGTTCCAGGGGATCTGATGCCCTCTTCTGGCTTCTGTGGACATTGCATGACATGGATGCACTCACATGCATGCAGGCAAAACCCTTATACACATAAAATAAAAATAAATAAATAAAATTTTAAAAAAGAGTTGGAGGTTCTACCTGGATAGGCCAATATGGACTCTAGCCCTCTGGAATTGTAAGGCAAATAAACTCTTCCTTCCACAAGTTTCCTTGGTCAGTGCTTTATCACAGCAACAGAAAAGCAGAAAAGTAATACGATCACCATCACACACATTCAATAAACATTTCCCAGATCCTTCTCTCAAGCACAACTGTCCAGCAGGGAAAGGGACTTCCTTTTGGATATGAAGTATAGGCCTGGTTCCTAATGCAGTAATGTTTAGAGGGGAGGCTTTGGGAAGTGATTAGCTCAGGAGAGCTCAGGCTTCATCAATGGATGAATCCTCCATTAGATTCCTAATTTGACGGCATTCCTGGGAAGTAATGGAAGTTGGAAGAAGGTCACTGGGAGGGTGCCCTGAGAAGATACACTTTGTTTCTATTCCCTTTCTGTCTCTGCTTCCTGGCCCCCATGATGTGAGCTCTTGCTATCATGATGCTCTGCCTGACCACAGCCCAGAAACAAGGGAGACTGGTGGCCAAGGACTACAACCTGTGGAACTATGAGCCAAAATGAAACACTCCTTTTAAATCGTTTCTCTCAGCTGTAAAACCTGATGAACACAAGCTCCTTCCAGGCTGGAGAGAAGACATGGACCCAACAAAATCTGTCGTCAGGGAGGACAGTATTTAGGGGAGCAGACAGGCCCACATGGCAAGGGCTAGGCTGGGGG